GGCGAACTCTCCCTGATCGTCGAGGTTCACAAGTATCAGGCGGAGTCTCAAGTCCCTATGATGCGGGTTGAACATCTTCAACTCGCTCACTCGGTCCAGCGTTTGTCTACAGTTCTCGAATTTCTTCGAGATCTACTCTACTCCCACTAATTTCCTTAGAGACGAACTCTCTTTCCAGGAATTTCCCGTTCCGAGCAATAAACACTTTATTCTCGACTGGATTATAGAAGTAATACCCTTTAGTTTCCTTAGGGTATCCTACAAACAGACACTTGTCCGATTTGGCGGATAGCTTATCAGAAGCTTGACGTTTCACGTAAACGTCACATCTCCAAATCTTCAAGAAAGACAAGCTGGGACGCTTCCCAGTCCATATCACATATGGAGTCTTCTGAACCGTTTCCGTTGGACTCATGTTCAGTATGAAAGCAGCAGTTTCTAAGGCGTAACCCCAGAAAGACTTTGGAAGATCAGCCTGACTCATCATAGACCGTAACATATCTAATAAGGTGCGGTTCCTCCGTTCAGACACGCCATTCCACTGTGGCGTTCTAGGAGGGGTCAACTGTGAAACAATTCCACAGCCTACCAGATAGTCAGTGAACTCTTGGTTCATATATTCGCTACCGCGATCCGATCGCAACGACTTAATAGTCTTGCCAAGCTGGTTTTGTACTTTGTTTCTGAAAGCCTTGAACATTTCAAGCGTTTCAGATTTATGTCTCATCAAATAGACATAACCAAATCTACTGAAATCATCAGTAAATGTGACGAAATACAAATAACCTCCTCTAGCGGGTAAGCTCATGGGCCCACATACATCACTATGTATTAGGTCCAATAACTCCAACACCCGTTCTCCTTTTCCACTAAAAGGAGACTTTGCCATTTTACCCATCAGACAAGATTCGCACCCTTCAATCGATTCATAATCGAAAGTATCCAGAAATCCTTCGGAGAGGAGTTTCTGTATGCGTTTCTCGTTGATGTGGCCCAAACGACAATGCCAGAGATAGGTCGGGTTTAAGTTGTTCGGCTTAAACCTCTTCGCATTTACGTTATATACGGACATGGAATCAGAAGGTTGATCGTTCAAGACATATAATCCATTTACAAGGTAACCATTACCATAATAGATATCGTCTTTGAACATCATCGGGTTCTTATTCTCAATAACAAACCGAAAACCATCCAAATCCAAACAGGAAATAGAAATGATGTTTCTGCTTATAGAAGACACAAAGTAACAATTACTTAGTTCTATAACTAGTCCAGACGGTAAAGATAAATCATAAACGCCGACAGCCAATGCAACAACCTTTGCTCCATTCCCGACGCGTAGATCCACTTCACCTCGAGCCAATGTCCTACTTCTTCTGAGACCCTGCACATTTCCACAAATGTGTGAGGCACATCCGATATCCAATACCCAGGATGAAGAAGTGAATACGTTAGCTTCGATAACGTAAATACCTGAAGTAGAAGCTTCAACAAGCTTCTTCTTCTTCAGATCTTCCAGGAAGAGTTTGCAATTTCTTTTCCAACGACCAATTTCATGGCAGAAATGACACTCTCCTTTCTCGGGTTTAGGCTTGGCCTTGTTGGCAACATTTGCCCCACTTGCCTTGCCTTTGCCCTTTTCTTTGGAACGTTTCCGCTTTTTCGAACTCTTCGAAATAACGAGCACGTTCTTTTCAACCTTAAGGCTCGTCTCGACCGTTTTTAGCATCCCATGTAGTTCGGTCAAGGTCTTATCCATACCATGCATATGATAGCTCATGATGAACTGATCATAGCAGTCTGGAAGAGACTGGAGTACAAGGTCAGCAACCAACTCCCTGTCAATCCTCAAGCCATAACGCTCAAGTTCTTCAAGATGACCCTTCATCTTAAGAATATGAGCGCTAACCGATTGCCCTGTCGTCATACGACATGCAAGCAGGTTCTTCAACGTGTTGTATTTCTCAACACGCGCATGCTCTTGGAACATAGTCTTCAACTGCTCGAGCAGATCAAATGCATTGACGCCCTCAAACTGTCGCTGTAGTTCAGGAGACATTGTCCCGAGCATGATGCAAGAGAGCTCCAGGTCGTCGTTCTGATGCTTCAACTAAGCATCACGAACGTCTCTCGCAGCGTTGGCCGGGGGCTCAGCAGGAAGAGCCCCTTCCAGGACGTACATCTTCTTCTCGTTCCTGAGAACAATTCTCAATGTCCGATACCAGTCCAAGAAGTTCGTCCCAGTCAGCTTATCCTTCTCAAGGATAGATCGCAATGACACGGTTGATACACTACCACCTGTCGTCATGTCCTACAGAGATAAACAGAACAACACAATATGCAATATCCATTAGTACAATACTAATTATAGTGAAAACTATTACGGATGACATGATGCAAATATGAGATAAATTCCCACTAAGAAAAATAACCCTCTAGTAATTTTCTTAGCAGGCTAAGATCCATATTTCACATAGACTTGAGTCAGCTTTGGCATGACGCTCAAGACTATGCTATTTAGGTAGACATCCAATGTCAATCACATCCAATGTGACTCTTAGATCGTTTATGGGAAAACAGTATCATTATACTATTGCATATTTCTAGTCCCATCTATACCGTTAGGTCCAAGTCCAACTTATATCATTATACTACCGCATAATTCTAGTCCCATCTATACCGTTAGGTTCAAGTCCAACTTGATAACCTAACTCAAGCGAAACCATTTTCGAGCATATGAGAATCACCATTTCTCCATCTTGTCTCACAAAGATTGTCCGGTATACTCAGCTTTGGCATGACCCATACACAGACGATCGAAGTCTTGACAAGTGCTCGAAATATGGGCAGTATAAGCTTGAAATTATAACGAGGGTTTTTATCGTTATCAAGAAGCAGCTTATTACTTTCGAGAAATGATAAGCACAATTTCTCAATTCTTGTCTCACTTAAATAATCCGGTATGCACAGCTTTGGTCTCCCATACACGAATTACCAAGGTCTTGGCAAGAACTCTACTTGTAATAGCTCTATTCTCAATTGATCAAAATATAACAATTATATTTTGATCCGACTCTATTACTTAGCCCGAATAGACCGTCTATTCAGCTTAGTAAACTAAGTTCCGAAACTCCCACTCAATCAAGTAACTCTTATACTTTATTAAGTTTTATGCACTTAATCTATGTAGACCCTCTACAAAATTAAGCCATAAACCAAAACCAATCATAATTAACTCAGTCAAGTAACCATTACTTAACCGAATCGAACTCAGAAAACGCGAAAAATCCGAAAAATAGGTGGTTGGGCCAGGGCTGACCAAATTCTGGTCCACCAGACCAAACCACAACGTGCCTCGGAGTCAGTTCGGACCAGAGAAGAAAACGGGCGGAGTCAGCCGGGTTGGTCCAGGGCTGACCAACATTTGGTCCGCTGGACCAAACCCAAGACTCAGCTACTTCTCACGCACGAACCAGGCTCGGTACGCGCGGACTGAGGTCGTTGGTCCGGGGCTGACCAATTTTTGGTCAGCCGGACCAGACACCTTCAGTCCGCGGCTCGCACTCTCGGACCAACACTTGGTCCGACTGATCTTCTACGTTTGGTCCGGGGCTGACCAACTTTTGGTCGGCCGGACCAAACGTGTAGAATCAGTTCTCGGACCAAGAAAATCTCGCCTAACCAAACCAAAGTCTGGTCCGTCGGACCAACATTTTGGTCCGCTGGACCAAGACTGTTTTCTTTTTGGTCCGAGCTTTTTCCTCTAGTCCGTCGAACTGATCTGTGCAAGCCTGAACCTATGGTCCGGCACTGACCAACTTTTGGTTCGCCGGACCACGGGATTCTGGGTAGGAAAATCAGATGAGATTTTCAATCTTGATCTGATTTTTTGCTCATTTCGAATCCATTTTTCGTTCCGTTTTCTCGAGTTAATTCATGCTTCAAGCCTCCATATATCTAAGTCTTATTACATAATTTAATCTACCATAGAATCAATCATATAACTGATTTAAACTAAGATCAAAACCAAGGAAAAACAAAGTTTGAATAATTTTCAAACTTGCTCAAGAGTGATCGTTCTTCATCGAAACGAAGAACCGAGCTCTGATACCACTGCTGGGTCACACGGGATCCTAGACCGCCGGTTCAAAACCGTGCTAGGATCTGATCCGCGGGCTTACGCAGCGGAATTGGCGTTCAAAACTTCTTTGAACCGCCCACGCACCAATCTTTCGATGAAGAACTTTCTTGAACCGAAAAACAAACCTTTTGATTGTGGTTAGATGATCACAGCCTAGGTGTTGAATGAGCCAACACCCTCTTGAGCAGTCCACACCCTTGGGATGGTTTCCAACACTTGGAAACTTGCTTGCTAGAGCTTGAAGAGATCAAATCTCTTGTTTTGGATCCAAGAACACTCTCTTGAACTTGGGAGAGTTTCTCCAGATCAACCTTAGCTTTTCTGAAGGCCAAGGGACGAGATAATAATGAGCATAATGTTCCCCACCTGTTTCCCATGCGAGAAAAGGCGAGAAAAAGGCAATTTGGAGTTTCTGACACTTGGTTCGCCAGACCAACACTTGGTATGCCGGACCAGGCGTGTAAAAACTCGCAAAATTGATAAGTCAGAGGCTTGGTCCGGAGCTCACCAACTCTTGGTCAGCCGGACCAAGCTCAGAGACTTGCCGACAGTCTGAAAAACTCGCGATCTGGCGGACCAGAATCTCGGTCCGCCGGACCAGACTACTCCGGACCGTGCCCTTAGTCCGACTGACCATTTGGTCCGGCGGACCCTGAAATCGAGAAGTCCGCTAAGCGCAATCGAAAGAAGAAACGACAGCAAAGAAAGAAGAAAGATGGAGGAACATGCTATAGTTGCTGAGAACAACTATGACACTTATGGGACATACCTTCAGCCCAAGTACATTCAGCAACTCTCATGCATTCGCTGGCCTGACATCGACCGTAACAATTTTGAGTTTCAACCGGCATTCATCAATATGTTGAGCTCATCGGCTTTCAGGGGCAGACCTAATGTAGACCCGATCCCTCACTTGACTCGATTCAAGCTACTATGTCAATCGGTGAGTACAGTCTGCGGAGTTACCGATGAGTCTCTCATGCTCATGGCTTTTCCATTCTTCTTAACGGATACTGCTCTGGAATGGCTCTACACACTACCTCCAGATTCCATATTCTCATGGGAACAGTGCAAGAAAAGTTCATGCAGCGGTTCTTCCCCGCTAGCAAGACCTAGCTCGCGAAACAACATATTAACTCATTTTTGCAGGAACCTGATGAATCCTTACGTGAAGCTTGGGATCGCTTTCAAGGATACCAGAGAACATGTCCTCACCATGGATGGGATAAAAGGTACCTTATTTCCACTTTCTTGCAGGGATTAAAGGAGGACACTCGGGTTCTTATTCGAGTAGCATGTGGAGGAAACCTCAACGAAAAGTCCTTCGAATTCATAGAGCAACAAATCAACAAGATGGCTAACGAGTGTGCTCCCTCTCACGAGTTTATCAGAAACGTTAACCTCAAAGACAGTCGTGCAGGTAAGGAAAGTCTATCTGAAATTCAGGCATTACGTGCAGAATTGATTGGCAAAACTTAAAATGCAGGTTGAGAATGCCCATCAGATCTCAAGCTTAGACACATCAGCCAACGGGTACATGATCGGAGATGTCTACTACGTAGATAAGAACCTGTACTCGAATGTGTACAATCCGAGGTGGAAGAATCATCCAAACTTCTCGTACAAGAATTCTTCCGACGTCTGGAATACTCCCCTCGGAAATTTTGGTGGTCCGGCTAATCAGGGTCTTTCTCAAGGATATCAACCTCGAGCTCGAGCCCCCGCAGCATCAAAATCAATCCATTCAACACTTCCCAACACATCTTCAATATCAGCAGAATTACGCTCCGTCTCCGCCTCCATCACAGGTAGATTCTGCCCTCGATCTTAAATCTATGTTTGCACAGCTTATGCAGGGTCAAGAAGCTATTCGCACCGAGATACATAAACATCAACAAGAGACTGACGCCCACTTGAAGCTTGTCGATAACCAGATAGCTCAACTCGCAGCCTCTATACCTTCGCGACCTCAAGGATCACTTCCCGGGAAACCCGAGACAAATTCTAGAGAGCACTGCAATGCAGTGTTCTTGAGAAGCGGGAAGCAACTTGAGTATGTCATCCCCCCTACTCCTGAAAAAGGTGAGTCTTGTTACTCTAAATCTACGATCACCTCTAACATTCCGTCTGCAGATACTCCATTTAAGATGACATGTGAGGAAGAACCAAAGTAGATACCTCCACCTCCCAGACCTCCTCCAGTTCCATTCCCTTCACAACTTGTGCAACAAAAAGAGGCCAGCCAGTTTAAGCACTTCACGAACATGATAAAGAAATTGGAGGTCACAATACCTTTTCATGAGGTAATCACTCAAATGCCCTCTTATGCCAAATTTCTCAAGGATATTCTGGCTAGGAAGAAGACACTAGAGAACGAGGCAGTAGCATTAACCAAAGAGTGCAGTGCCGTTTTTCAACATGATCTGCCCCGTAAGATGGCAGACCCAGGTAGTTTCTCCATTCCTTGCAAACTGGGCAATCTCTTTATTGAACAGGCGTGATGTGATCTAGGAGCAAGCGTAAGCCTAATGCCATTGTCGATCTTCAAGAGACTAGGTGTGGGTGAACTCAAACCCACACAAATGATATTACAGTTGGCAGATAGGTCGACCGAACGGCCTGCAGGTATACTAGAGGATATGCCACTTAAGGTGGGTGATTATTACATACTTGTCGATTTTTTGGTTCTTGACATGGATGCAGATTCAAGCATGCCTATCATTTTAGGGCGTCCCTTTCTCAACACAGCAGATGTCGTCATCCACGTCAGAGCGGGTCGTCTTACTATGTCCATTGGAGACAAGACAATAGAATTCATGCTCAAACAAAATGACAATCCAGACGACAGTGTGAAATCTATTTGTTCAGTTTACAAGCTCAAAACGCCCAAGAACCAGGACCACAAACACAAGGTTAAGAGAGGACCAGATCCAGATAGGACAAAAGGTGTGGAGCAGGTCACTAACTCTTCAGATTTTCGTGAGAACTGGCTCGAATCTCATGCATCACCACCAGATTTTTCTCTACTAGGTATGCCTCATTTCTCAAACTCCTTTCATTGTAGAGATGCTCTTAAACTTCATGATCCAGGTTGGCAGAAGATGGATAATCTTTGCCCGTTAGACCCATCCAGTAGTTGAGAGAGTTGGGTCAAGCTAACGACCTTAAACAAGCGCTCCCGGGAGACAACCCGAGTTTGTAGGTTAGTTTTTCTTTTCTTTCTTTTTCTTTTTGCATCAGATATCGGTTTGTGTCTCTTATCACCAGGTTGAGTTCTAATGAGGAGCTACCGAGGAGGCGAGGAAGTTAGCTATGCGATTGACGTAGGCAGACTTAAGTGCCAGTGAACGAACATCACGAGCTAAGTATTCTTTTTCCTTCTTGATTTTCTTCTCTTTTGACTCATTTTATTGGTCGCCTCTACTAGACGAGATTTGACACCGAGGACAGTGTCCAGTTCAAGTCTGGGGGAGGATTCGTCTAACGCCAAACCATATCTATTTAGAGTAGTGTTGCATGCATTTTTCTCTTATTAGGGTTATGCATTTACATATAACATTTAGGACATATAAGATCACGTGCATAAAACCGTTTTGAGCATTGATGTGATGATCTATGGCATGAGAGAGTATAAACGTCTTGAAAACATTGTGATCCGTTGAACGTGGTTATATTTTGTTGAATTGATTGCTTGACCTTTAGGATTGTCTAAAATAGTTCGTGGGATAGAAATCGTTGCTTGGAACCCATAGGACCGATATTGTCTAGCCGAGTAGAAAGGTTTCTATAGGAACCGTCCCCATGTTTGCTGAAATCGGTAAAGTCTATTATCAAATGCATCCTTATTTCTTTGTGTGTAGAAAAAGATAGTAAGCATCTCGACATTCTGCTGTCATGATCTCGTCAACGAAAATCGTTCGAGGACATGAGTGCATCGATTAGATGCTTCGGGTCTAAGTTGTGGGTCGGGTCATCCAATGAACTAAATCGACAAAAAGAGCGATTATGAACCCTTCATTAACTTCAACATCCTAGGAACCCGAGATGCTAGCAAAAGAAAAAAAATCTAGCTAGATGAAAGAAAAAAAAGAGAAGAAGAAAAAGAATGAATATCAAAAGCGTAGACAAGATACGATTAGGTAGAATGGCGTGATAGGTTCGAGAAACATGCTTGGAGGATGATTGAAGTTCTTGGATGGTTCTGGATCGCGGTATAGATCCCATAACTAGGAAAGACTTTCCTTTAGAGAGGGAGATCATACTAGACAGACTTGGTCATGGTTCACGGGGATCTAGGTCGGATAGAGGTTTCGCTCTCGATTATCATTTTGAGTTATGTCATTGTCTTGGCCTCCTTTCAGACCGCTTTTCATGGAGTATTTGCTCGAGGACGAGCAAAGGTTTAAGTCTGGGGGAGTTTGATAACATGTATTTTGGTGATATTTTGGTATAAGATGTCTAGTGCATTTTACTCAGTTTTGCATATTTATAGACATTCTATATCACATTTGGTCTCGATATTGTTTGGTTGTATTCTTTGGTGTCAAAACAGGTAATTCATGCATAAAAGAGAGCAAAAGGAGTGGAAAACATGCACTACGGAACATCACAGACGAAACGGGAACATTTGGAGTTGTTCAGGGAAAAACATGAAGCCTAAAAAATCAGATATTGCTAGTCCAATAACTTCTATTCTACAAGTCCAAATTATGCGTTTTCTACGTCATTGGAAAGCTCTCTTCAATATCTACGCATAGACATCAAGATCCCACAAAATCCGACATTGGAGCAGAAAGTTATGAGCAAATCTGTCAAGTATGTTTGAGTTGAAAACGTCTTCTATTTATTTGTTTGGCAGGTAGGCTTCTTCTTTTGCTGAAAACGGAAGTTCGGATGTAAAATACAGAGTTTTCCCGTAATGCAACACGACCGTGTCGAATGCAACACGGTCCGTGTCAATTCTCTGTTAAAAATCTGCACTTTAGACATGGGTTGAACACGGACAAGTTTGAATCAACACGGCCGTGTCGAATGATGACACGGTCCGAGCCAATTCTCTGAGCAAAACTTCACTTTTTCAGCATGAATACGACACGACCGTGTCGAATGGAACACGGTCCATGTCAATTCTTTCAACTCGAATATACTTGGTAGATTTTCTCATAACTTTCTGCTCCAATGTCGGATTTGCACGATCTTGGTGTCTATGCGTATTATTGAAGAGAGCTTTCTAATGATATAGAGAACGCATGATTTGGACTTGTAGAGTGAAAGTTATTAGACTTGCAAGATATAACTTTTTAGGCTTCATGTTTTTTCCCGGAACAACCCGAAATGTTCCCGTTTCGTCTGTAATATTTCGTAGTCCATGTTTTCCATCCATTTTGCTCTCTTTTATGCATGAATACATATTTTGACACCAAAGAAAGCAACCAAGCAATATCGAGACCAAATGTGCTCTAGAATGCCTATAAATATGCAAAACCGAGTAAAATGCACTAGACATCCTATACCAAAATATAACCAAAATACATTTTATCAGATACCAGTCCAAGAAGTTCGTCCCAGTCAACTTATCCTTCTCAAGGATAGATCGCATCGTCAAACTCGGTACACTATCGGTCGACGCCATGTCCTACAGAAAAAGACGAAGCACAACGAACAAAAACAAAATGCAGATTCTATCAATGATCTACTACCAGCTAGTCTATCATCAATCAATGACAACATAGATGCATATGCAGCTATACTCCCATAAAGAAAAATAACCCTACAATAGTTTTCTATATGGGACTAAGATCTATATTTCACATAAGAAGGTGTTGTTACACTCATCCTCATGCTATTTAGGTAGACATCTAATGTCAATCATATCCAATATGACTCTTAGATCCTTTATGACACTATGATATCAAATATCATTGCATACTCGTCTCATCTATACCGTTAACTCTCAAGTCAAACTCGACAACTTAACCTAAGATAAACCATATTCAAGATGTGGGAACAACGATTTTCCACCCTGCCTCACAAAGATAATCCGACACGCTCAGCTTTGGCATGACCCGTGTTATGGATGATCGATGCCTTGACAAGTGCTCTAGTAATGGAAGGTACACGCTTAACATTACATAAAAGGGATTTTTAAAACCACACTTAGATCTAGCATCTACTTTCAAGATATAAGAACCACCATTTCTCCATCTTGCCTCATCAAGATAGCACGGCACAGCCAGCTTTGGCATGGGCCATGACACGTACGATCGAGGTCTTGACAAGTGCTTTACTCGTAGAGATCCTAGATCTAACCGGTTTCCGTGCAACGATGGTACGAATCAAATCAAGTATCAACCATTGTTCCTTGATCAGATGTATTACATAATCCGAATAGACCATCCATTCGATTATGTAATCCCAACCCCGAAGCTCCCGCTCAATCAAGCATATCTAATATCTTGATTAAGTTACATGCATTCATTCACTATGGACCATCCAAACGAATGAATCATGTTATTCTGGACCACTATTGATCGGATTAAGCAACTATTGCTCAAACCAGATCCTGAAACAAAGAACCAAAAATTTTGGTCTAACCTCGGTACGTGGACCGATCGGTCCAACCGACACACGAAACCCTAGACCGATCGGTCCAGAAGACCAGACCGATCCGTCCAAGCAAAAAACATGATCAAATCTCATTTTCGTCGTTTGCCCCGTTTGAGAACCGAATTCGACACGGTTTTTTCGCCTACGAACTCAGAATTCGAACCTCTTGCATACTATGCAACAAAGAACATGTAATCTACTCTAGATCTACAAACACTTCATGCATAGCATCCAAAAGAAAACACGGATTCAAACGATTCAAATTCTATAACGTGCGTGATCAGGTTCTAACAAAATCATACAGAGCAACCAGGCTCTGATACCACTGTTGGGATTCCTGGGATCTCTACAGCGAATCTAATCCTAAGAAATCGGTTCTAGGGTTTGCGCAGCGGATGTAAAACAAAATTTTTTTATGAAACCCTAAAACCTAGCATGCATGATCTTGTAGAAACGTTAGAACGCTTACCTCAATCGATCCGGGACTTGTATCAATCGAAGAGTTCATCCGATCACAAAGGCAAGAAGAATACCTCGCCCTCTACACGTATCCACACGGCGGAAAGAATTCCAACGGTTGGAACTCGTATGCTAGGACTAAAGAGCACGTTCTTCTTTGCGCGAGGATTTTAGGGATCTTTTTTTTTTTGTTTTTCCACTCTCAAAACCTCTCAAAAGGGTCTGAAAGTCATGCTAATGAGCTTAGGAGGCGTTCCCCAAAGTTTCTTACTCTTAAAACCCTAATTTGGGCGAGAAGGCAACCTCGATGTCTGGACTGATTGGTCTGGAGCTTTTGCCTGTGGACCGATCGGTCTGGAACATTTTCCGGACCGAGCAACATTTGCACGTTACCTCTGGACTGATCGGTCTACGTCTGGACCTCGGTCTAGGCTTGCTGGACCGATCGGTTCAGACCTTCTGGATCGAACGGTCTGGCCTCTGCTCCACCGGAAAATTCTCGTCTTTCCTTGCGCGTGTGTGACCCTGTAGACTCATCCGATATAGCAGTATAACCCGAAATCTCCATTTCGATTATAAAGTCATAGGCGGTCTCTAGCAAGACACTATGACTACCTATCTCGAATAAAGTTTGTTCGTGATCTTACGAACGTTGGTAATAATTATGGTTGATGATCCTTTTGTAACATGATATCATAAGTCGAACATAAGGCATGGAGAAGCCACCCAAGATGTGGGAACAACGATTTTCCACCCTGCCTCACAAAGATAATCCGACACGCTCAGCTTTGGCATGACCCGTGTTATGGATGATCGATGCCTTGACAAGTGCTCTAGTAATGGAAGGTACACGCTTAACATTACATAAAAGGGATTTTTAAAACCACACTTAGATCTAGCATCTACTTTCAAGATATAAGAACCACCATTTCTCCATCTTGCCTCATCAAGATAGCACGGCACAGCCAGCTTTGGCATGGGCCATGACACGTACGATCGAGGTCTTGACAAGTGCTTTACTCGTAGAGATCCTAGATCTAACCGGTTTCCGTGCAACGATGGTACGAATCAAATCAAGTATCAACCATTGTTCCTTGATCAGATGTATTACATAATCCGAATAGACCATCCATTCGATTATGTAATCCCAACCCCGAAGCTCCCGCTCAATCAAGCATATCTAATATCTTGATTAAGTTACATGCATTCATTCACTATGGACCATCCAAACGAATGAATCATGTTATTCTGGACCACTATTGATCGGATTAAGCAACTATTGCTCAAACCAGATCCTGAAACAAAGAACCAAAAATTTTGGTCTAACCTCGGTACGTGGACCGATCGGTCCAACCGACACACGAAACCCTAGACCGATCGGTCCAGAAGACCAGACCGATCCGTCCAAGCAAAAAACATGATCAAATCTCATTTTCGTCGTTTGCCCCGTTTGAGAACCGAATTCGACACGGTTTTTTCGCCTACGAACTCAGAATTCGAACCTCTTGCATACTATGCAACAAAGAACATGTAATCTACTCTAGATCTACAAACACTTCATGCATAGCATCCAAAAGAAAACACGGATTCAAACGATTCAAATTCTATAACGTGCGTGATCAGGTTCTAACAAAATCATACAGAGCAACCAGGCTCTGATACCACTGTTGGGATTCCTGGGATCTCTACAGCGAATCTAATCCTAAGAAATCGGTTCTAGGGTTTGCGCAGCGGATGTAAAACAAAATTTTTTTATGAAACCCTAAAACCTAGCATGCATGATCTTGTAGAAACGTTAGAACGCTTACCTCAATCGATCCGGGACTTGTATCAATCGAAGAGTTCATCCGATCACAAAGGCAAGAAGAATACCTCGCCCTCTACACGTATCCACACGGCGGAAAGAATTCCAACGGTTGGAACTCGTATGCTAGGACTAAAGAGCACGTTCTTCTTTGCGCGAGGATTTTAGGGATCTTTTTTTTTTTGTTTTTCCACTCTCAAAACCTCTCAAAAGGGTCTGAAAGTCATGCTAATGAGCTTAGGAGGCGTTCCCCAAAGTTTCTTACTCTTAAAACCCTAATTTGGGCGAGAAGGCAACCTCGATGTCTGGACTGATTGGTCTGGAGCTTTTGCCTGTGGACCGATCGGTCTGGAACATTTTCCGGACCGAGCAACATTTGCACGTTACCTCTGGACTGATCGGTCTACGTCTGGACCTCGGTCTAGGCTTGCTGGACCGATCGGTTCAGACCTTCTGGATCGAACGGTCTGGCCTCTGCTCCACCGGAAAATTCTCGTCTTTCCTTGCGCGTGTGTGACCCTGTAGACTCATCCGATATAGCAGTATAACCCGAAATCTCCATTTCGATTATAAAGTCATAGGCGGTCTCTAGCAAGACACTATGACTACCTATCTCGAATAAAGTTTGTTCGTGATCTTACGAACGTTGGTAATAATTATGGTTGATGATCCTTTTGTAACATGATATCATAAGTCGAACATAAGGCATGGAGAAGCCACCTTATCTGATTCGACTGTTTATTCATTCACTGAGTTCGACTGTACGAGATAGACGACGTTCGTCTATAGTGTGGCCACACATTCCTACAGTCTCGCTTACACGAGGGGCCTAACGATATCTCTCTCTTTTACGAGAGGTACAAATCCCATCTTGACTATATACAATCCAGCACATGATTCATGTCGTACCTGATATACGCCTTTATAGTCCTCCTATTACGCATGACGTTTGATGTATTCAAAGTACGCAACTCCTCATGTTGGATTCCATAGATATCTCAGGTCATAGGATCCAATCATAGAACCGTCATATGAGATTCAAGTCATGACGCTAGTCCATGTGACAATCTCATGCGGGTCAATCATTGCGTTCTCCAACGAATACCTATGATTGTGATCGTATCCAATACCTATGATCATCACTATGATCATCAATCACACATCATACTAGTCTTAGTATATCATTGTTCCCACAATGATATATGACTAGGGAGTTTAGTATTGTTCATAACAATACATGAATTTCATAACATATTAAATATGCAAAAAATGTAATGAATCAAACACTCATCCATAAAACCATAGAAAGTGTCAATATATCATATATATCATAAGAAAGCTTGCAAAACAGTACATCATAGAGCACTAAACCAACGTATACCCATGTCATTCTCGAATAATCATCGATGAAGAGTAGAAAATACTTGCTTCCATCAAGCGAAGGTGTTTGCATTGGGTCACATATATCAGAGTGCACTAGCTCCAGCTTTTTCTAAACTCTTGATGAAGATGATGGAAACATGAATCTTAATTGTTTTCCTAACTGGCATGCTTCACACACCTCATTATAGTTTCCAAAGTTAGGGATTTCCTTCGCCATGTTCTTCTATAGTAACTTTTGCATGTATGAGTTATTACTATGCCCGAGTCTTCGGTGCCATAGTTGAGCCATCAAATCTTCTTTAGCCGTGTAGGAAGACTCGCCTTATCTCACAAGCTGCATTGGAAAGTTTTCCTCTGCATTCCTCCCCATAGGATCACGAATCACACAACTACTTTCTTTGGAGTTGAGTTCGTACCCGTTTAGGAGCATTTGAGGAATGCTGAGTAGGTTCTTGTCCAACTTCGGAACATAGAACACATCTTTGATAACTGTTGCACCTTTTTTCGTGTTAACCACGATATCTCTTTTTCCTTCATTCAAGATTATGGCTCCATTCCCTACTCGGATAGGGATCTTGATATCTCGGTCTATCTTCTTGAAGTACCGAATATCTTTGGACATGTGATTTGTGCATCCACTGTCGATTAGCCACATGTCTTTCCCTTGGGCTATCATAGCTTCATCCCGCACCGTAAATAGTTGTTCATTCATGCTCTCTGCCTGTGTGACTTGGGTGTGTTGATTTTGACTCCTACAATCTCGAGCCAAATGTTCTGGCTTTCTGCATGTGTAGCATTCCTTCAACCTCCTCACTTGTCGGTCTTGTTTGCCCTTCTTATTTTGGAAGTAGCACTCCTCCTCGGTGTGATTATCTTTCTTGCAATAACCACACCATTTCTTTTCTTTCGGATTAGACCTCCAGAGACCTTTGTTACCTCCTTTGTGATTCTTTGATCGAGCTGGAAAAGCTCCTTCTGAATTTCCTTCTTCATCCGGTAGAAACTTTGATTCATGTGCGATCAAAGATCCAACCAGATCTGTGACACTTATGTTTCTCAAATCTTTCGTCTCCTCTATCAACGCTGCCAAAGTTGCGTATGACTTTGACATCGTTGTTAGGATCTTCCTTATGATTTCGAAGTTTTCTTTCCTTCTCCCAATTGTTCCATTTGATTTGCGATATCGATCACTCTATCCGTATATACTCTTTTTCTTTCACCATCTTTCATTCTCAAATTTTTGAATTGAGTATGTAAAGATTGTAAATCGAACAAGTATGGCTCGTTCGTTACCTTGATATGCTTCTTGCAGCTTGGTCCACACCTCATTTGATGTAGTTGCCGTTATCACTTTCCGGAATACAGAATCTGTGATGGAATTTTATAGAAGTTGGAGAGTCATCATATCCTTCATCTTGATCTCCCTCCATTTTGTGAGATCTATCTCTTGATTTTTCGTCGGAGTTTATGTGGTCTCCGATGGTTGTGATGGAATGTTGTTTTCAACGACGTCCCATAATTCTCTCAGCATCAACGTCGTCTTCATCCTCGTGGCCTATAACTCATAATTTTGGCCATCGAAAATAGCAACAGGTTGAATGTTTTGGATGTTTGTTGCCATAGTGCTCTTCGTGCAAGTAGTGCTTCGTGGTGCGTCTTGTGCTTTGATCTAGTGCTCTTCCTTGTGCTTGAATTAGTGCAGCGTTGTCCCTTGAACCGTAGTTGGCTCTGATACCACATTACGAAGCTTGTATTATATTTTCTTTCACAAGCTTCTTATCTTCTCTTCTTTAGTGCACAGTGCAAAGAAAGACAAACGAAAAAATATTGAAGATTTATAACACTTATTTATGCTTAGAACTTTATAAAGAAATATCAAAGAGAGAAAAAAGAGAGAAGTGTTTAGAGAGAAATGGTTAGGAATGCTTGATATGAAAAACTCAATACAACAACCTCTATTTATACTAAAACTCCAAACCTACTATTCTCATCACAACCACATATATTCATAACACCTCATCAATCAATCACACCTACCATATCTTTATTTTATTCAACCACACCTAACACACACAAATTCAAACTTCTATAACTCCTTACATAAGCATTACATCATCATGGTGTAATCGTTTATATAAGCATTACATAAACATGACATAAGCGAATGAATCACCATCTCAATAATAGTTACATGATTAATGTTGTATCTCATGAATTAGGTTGAATTAAATAGATATCTATAAATTTAAATACTGATGAGATTATATAAATTTAGTATTATATTTGTATTTTATTGTTAAATGTTTATTAAATTAAATACATTATTATTGCATTACTAATACCTACTAAATTTATATTGTTATTTAAAACTATATTTTCCAAATTTTAGATGCCATATTTTTAGATACCACTCGATTTGTCAAAGGGTAACTTTTTTATCGAGTCGTATCAAAACATTATTCCAATATTGTACATTCCAACACTTTGTTCAATGCAATAATTTGTAAAATATAAACACATAAATTGTTCACAACTCTTCTAAAAAAAAGATACCATCATGTTACCTGGATGCTTTTAAAAAAAACTATTTTGACTTAATAATATAAATTACCAATTTAAAAACTAAGTATTATATTTAACTTTAAAACTAGTAATAAAATTGTTTAAAACATGCATATATATATATTTAGTTTGTGTGATACGTTGGGTTATTACCTAATAATAATAAATGAAATTATTAAGAAAAACATTTTGCGTAATGCATTACAACTTTGCCATCAAATATGATGACGATGAAGCTATTAGAAAGAAAAATAGGTAGAGGGAATGAAGATTGCGACGTGTTACCTGAAGCGAGAACAATAGAAAGCCAACTTGGAGGCTAAAATTTTAAGAACAAGTCGAAGCCCTCGGTGGTGGGATCGAATATTGGTCAACGCCAATCCATCAAAACCTCAAGAGAACATTGACCACGAACAGCAGCTGAAAGAAACCCAGAATCCATTCAGTTCCGACAAAGATCTTCGTGGTGGCGAGTTCAATTCCGCCTTGTCTTCTGTTTGTTCTCCTTATGGTGTTTGGTCTTCAAGAACTGGATTGACTTTTGTTCGAAATGGCTGCAGTGATTCCACGCAGGAGGTTCATGGACTGGAAATGGCCCGTTGTATTCATGGCGGCTGCGTTCCTGGTCTCGCTGTCAGCACCAAGCCATGACTGCAATTTCCCGGCAATCTACAACTTTGGGGACTCAAATTCGGACACTGGCTCTGCCTCAGCGCTCTTCTTCCGTCTTCCTCCCCCAAATGGGATGACGTACTTTGCCAAACCAGTTGGTCGTTACTGCGATGGACGTTTGATTATTGATTTTATCGGTAATGACGGTCTTAATTAGTCCCGTGGGATTCAAGTATACAAACCTACGAATTGATTTCGAGATATAATCTTATACCAAGTTTGTAGGTGTGAACTTCCTATTTAGCTATCATCAAATTTGATTGTTTCGATTTTAAAATAAAACTTGTAATCATTCAATTTTTTTTAGGTAACTCAAAAGACCCCTCCTCTTTACTCTGTTTCGATTTTTTTTTTAAAAAAAACTTATAATCATTCAATTTCTATGTATGAACCGGTTCATTTTAATTTCAGGTCAAATTCGATTTTTATTGATAAAAATATTTATTTTTCAAAAAAAAATAGCCTTTTCATTTATTTTTTTATTCTTTCTTATTCAATTTCTTCTACTTTTTATTTTTATTTTAGAGAAACCATGACAATTCTTTTTTTATACGGGCTTCGGTTAGATTACGTTGATTTATTATTATTATTATTATTATTATTATTATTATTATTATTATTATTATTATTATTATTATTATTATTATTATTGTTGTTGTTGTTATTCTTCAATTTGAATCGGTTCTTTGGTTATTAACTAAATTAATCAACCTTAGTAAATAAGCAAAAATGTGATATACAAATAGAATTTAAGTTGAAAATGTTTCTGGTTTCCATTTGTGTTTGGTTTGCATATTTTTGGCAGCCGAGAAGTTGAAGCTACCGTTCTTGAGCCCTTACATGGACTCAATAGAAGGAGACTTCAGACATGGTGCCAACTTCGCCGTAGGTGGATCAACAGCCCAACCTGCAAATCTGACGATATTCAAAGCTGGTTTCGGCATATTCTCCCTCGACATTCAGATTTTACAGTTTCAACAGCTTAAAGATCGTACCAACGAAATCTATAACCGAGGTATGTTTCCTTGCCGAAACCGAGATTTTCTATTAATCCATATGGTTTAAGTACACTCGAATGAAATTTTTTCACGGTTTTGATGCTGTATAAGAAGAAGGCTCGCTGAACAAAGGGCGTATACCGAGGCCAGAAGACTTCTCCAAGGCGTTATACACGTTAGATATCGGGCAAAACGACCTTCATTTCGCACTTACCACAATGTCTGAGAAGGAAGTTAAAGAATCAATCCCTGATATCGTCCATCGTTACACTCTAGCCATAGAGGTATATGTGGAAATGAATACATCGAAACATATAATATATTCTGAAAATTATGTTTGTTCCTTACCAAAATCATTTCAGAAACTCTACCTAGAAGGAGCAAGAACATTCTGGATACATAATACTGGTCCTATAGGCTGTCTTCCAACCTTTGTTCTTCAACATCCACAACTCGAAGAAATTGACGAGATCGGATGCATACGTTCATATAACGAGGTGGCTCAAGAATTCAACACACAGCTACGAGAGAAGGTGAATTTTCTAAGGTCACGGCTTAAGGAAGCTACACTTATTCTCATCGATATCTATTCAGCAAAATACTCACTCATCAGTAACGCTGAGAAGAATGGTAAGTAGTTTAAGTACTACTCTATCTCCAAATATAAACTTTTCCACTTAAAGTATCGATTTTTTGGCTCCATCTATTGTAGGTTTCGTAGATAGGTTCGGTTACTGTTGTGGAAACTTGAGGGTAGAGCCTAAAGTGTACTGTTGGAGTAAGAAGGTTGTGAACGGTACTGAAGTATTTCCGAGCCATTGTTCTGACCCTTTGAAGTACATAAGCTGGGACGGGACACATTACACTGAGGCTGCAAACCGATGGGTAGCAAACCGAGTTATGGATGGTTAACACTCAAATCTGGTTGTTCCATTAGCGAGAGCTTGCCATTCACCCAAAGATTGACACTTTTTAAGTGAATTCAAGAACCCATTGATGTTAATTTTTGGAGATTTGGATCAAGCTCAGTTAATGCATAAGAAAGATACATATAGTTAAAAAAAAACAAGAAACTGTCAATATGCGGTTTTGGGAAGTTGCAAATGAAGTTGTAAAGGTTGGATGTTTTGTGAAGAAGTTACAGACGGTTTGGTAATGGTTGCTCTATAAAAGCAACATTTATGGTTGTCAAAAACTTATTGCATATGGTTTCTTTTCTGTAATCCTACTTGGTGAAGTTTTGTGGGTTTTATGTGTCGATGTGTTTTATGGTGTTGTTATGGTGTTGTTAATGTAAACTCTTTTATGGGAACTGTGTTCTTTGTTCGAGTTACAGGTTGTGTGTGAAAGAGTTTTATTTGAGAAACTTATCATGATATCAAAACAAAATGGTCTTCTTGGGATCTGTGAAAGAATTCAAATAAAACAAGATGATGATGAGAAGAAGAACCACAATTAGAGTTTCGTTTGGTAAGATGTTTTTTGTAAAAGCTGTATTTTTATCAATACAGTCAAATGCGTTCGTTTTTGGAAGAAAGAAGAAAGATGATGAATCCGAGGAGATTCACGACAAAGGAAAGCGACGATTCCGATAGTGTCAAAGATTGTTGTAACGTTGTTGGGTTTATGTCTCAATAAGGTAAACCCGTAAATAGTGAACATGGGCATGTGTACTCAAAAAACACGTGTAGACTCGAGATTGGTAATTATGCACTCAATAAACACTACAAAAAAAACCATAAATTCCAATCGGTATATCCGTTGGAAAAGGCCGAAAATCCGTTGGAAATGTCGATTTCCAACGGATTTCCAACGGATAATTCTGTTGGAAAAACGTCGTTGGAAATCCATGGCAATTTCCAACAGAATTCCAACGCCTGAATTCGTTGACATATTTCAACGGATTTCCAACGGATATATCTATTGCATAATTCCAACGGATTTTCAACGGCATATCCATGGCAATATTCTAACGCATTTCGCAACGGCTGCCCGTTACAAAAGTGTCACTGATATCCGTTGGAATTTCCGTTAGAAAAATGTCATGGATTTCCAACGGCATTGGCCACGGAATTCCGTTGGAAAAGCCGTTGGAATCGTCGTCGGAATGTTACAACGGGATTTCCAACAGATAACCATTGGTAAGTTGTAACGGATATCCGTTGGAATACTGCGTTGGAAATTGGCAACGCTCTTTGTGACGGATATCCGTTAGAATCATTTACTACTTCTAATGGGTATCCGTTGGAATGCCGTTGGAAACGGAAAAAAATTAATAAAAAAATAAAATAAATATTTAAAAATAAAACAAATAATTTATTTTATTTTTAAATATTTATTTTATTTTTTTTATTAATTATATATATATATATATATATATATATTTATTATATATATTAATTAATAAAAATTATATATTTAAATATATATATATAAAATATAATAAACAAAATTAAAATTAAAATATTAAAATAAAAAATTATTCGAATATTATAGAATAAAACTAAAATTAAAATTAATTGGCACTACGAGTTTCTTCGTCCTCATTGGTCACGAGATTACGTGTCATAATTTCTAGTCCCGAACTCGGCGGCGTGTTGTGGAGTGGGCGATCACCTCGCATAAGCTCAACAATTTGTTCGAGGTTACTCACTTGTTGTCTCGTCGCCGCAAGCTGTTATTCGAGTCTCTCGATCTGCCGTTGTTGTTCGAGATCACTCTGCATACCGGTAGGAATTGCAACACTGAAATCATCAAACAAATCTCTCTGCAATCCCTCCAATCCATAGATGCGGCCTTTATTTGGAGAGACCGACTGAAAAATGTATAAAATGTTTAAAATAAATTTAAAATACTAAAATTTAGTATTTATAACAAAATCATTAAAAATTTTACCTCCACATAACAACGATCTTGATCCATCGCAGAGAGACTGAATGAAGAACCCGCTGAGTCGCCAACATTTTACGAGAGTTGGGTAAGTCCCTAAGTCACCGTACTTATAACGCGTTTAGCACGGGGATCAACATATGATCCATCAGACTTTTTGTGTGTCCGAGCGATCAACTCTACAATTGTCAACGTTCTCCTCATTTCTTTCTCCTAATATATATATTTTTATAAAATTATTAACGCAATAAAAATTAAAATTAAAAAATTTAAAATGAAAATTTAAATGATACCATCTCTTTTTGCCACTTCTTGAATGATTTACTTCGGAGGTATGACGATGGGGACCATCACCCTCGATTTTTTGGGCCAGACAACTTTGTTTCGCCTTGGAACTCTTATTCTTGAAATGTTCCAAATTCCAATGTGAAACAAGCTGTTGGTATAAGTCATTTGTTGCCCAATCTGGTGCCAGTCCATGCAGTTGATGACGACGTTTGGCGTTGTTCATCATTCGTTCCAACCGCTGCATGCCGAGCTGGTTGAACTCTTTATAAACTTTATCGGTGTACTTTTTTTTCCACCGAAAAGATTGCTTTATAAAAAAAACTAGAGTTAGTAATAAATTTTTATATTTAATTAAATATTTAAAAAAACTTACGATGAACGAGTGCCACCAAGAACGTTTCAGATAGTCGGGTACCACCGTCCAACAGTAGTAGAGTTGAGAAAAATTAGACGTTATTATTGTCGTAAATTTTTTCCTCAACTTTTTATCGTTAACCCCAAACCTAATAATTACATTTTTTATTAATAATAGTTAATAATATAATTAAAACAATTATTTAAATAAATTAATTAAAAAAATTACCATAATGCCCCGTCAAGTTCGGGATCAATGAGCAGGAACTCGCGAGTGTCGAAAGAGTTTAAAATCCCCTCTACCTCCTCTAGAGTTATTTCAATCTCTGGGAATAGCGGCGGTGCATCCGGCAGATCCGGAAGACGAGAAGGTGGTGGCGGCGGCGGTGGCGCTGCTCTAGAAGAACCCGCCAACAAACTACCGGAAAATTGATAACGCCTACGAAACTGAAAAAAACAATAGTCAGTAATGTTTAAAACATAAACAAATATTAATTTAAAACATAACCAGTATATTACCATCTTCTTGTGATTTTTTTTCTAATTTTTTTTTTGATTTTTTTTTTATGTTTTTTTTGCTTTGATTTTTTTTTGCGAGAGTTGAATGAGGAGGAAGAGTGGGACACTCGGTTTATATAATCGAAAATTCCAATGGATTTCCAACGAGCATCCGTTAGATTTTTATAAAATCTTTAAAAAATCATCTTTACCCATCTCCAAATTTCAGTGAAAATACGAGCACATTCTTTCCCCGTGGAAGGAACTGCTTTGATACCAACGCTTTGAGCCCGAAACTCGTATCCCGCAATATGAGTTACATCACATGGACAACTAAAACAAAAATTCAATTTCCAAAAATCCGCGGGAATTTAAAATTTTCTTTTCAAAGTTAGCGGAAGGAAAACATTCATACATTATTCTTATGGAACCAGAGAAAACAAATACATATATATACTAATATTCTAATAAACAGGAATCGAAAACATTGAATCAATGATAATCATGCCAGCAATCACAATCAAGTCCGTAAGACAGGTCGTAGGACAGAGTCCGTCAAATCGTCTCTACGCACACCATGCGTAGGTAATATACTCCCCATGTGCATAGCACAACCATCTCTCTCCGCGGAATCCATTTACTCCGCAATCAGCCGGATCCGACATAAATATATTTTTCTCCGCCCGAACACATCACCCCACCCTAGCATCGAAGTCACCTCTCGATACTAGGCATGTCACCTAGCTCCGGCATCGATGTCACCTCTCAATACTGGAGTTCACCAGACGTCGGCTATAACTGACGCCATCGACTGTAACGGGAGAGCCAATCGCTGCAACTCCCCCTCGTCGACCATCCGCCGCGGAAATACTTGTTAGGTTCATGCCCGAACCTGGCAGAGTAAGTCCGTACCACCTCCTCGGGAGACCCCAATCTACCCGAGTCTCAGGTATGTGTAATGCCTCATCCTCGGGATAATCATATCCCAGAGTCCGCTCTGTCGCTAGCGGAAACGTTGGCACGGTTACCAAGAACCGTATTTTCCTCATCACGCAATAGTACCGACTATAATCGGCTATCTACGCAAGTCATCGGGATGCCCATAACTGTCATATCGATCGGACATTGGCGCGATTATGCCAGCGCCTAATTCACAATCATATCTCATATAGGTGACATCCGACCCGAATCGGATGACCCATGGATGGGACACAATCTCGCAAACATCGTGCATTCAATCACAAACGTCTGTTTCTACAATCACGCGCTAAACGTTAATCGAACCCTTTCGAATTAACATTAACTCCATGTCAGCTACCCCAGCCACATGCATTATATAGTTTATTTACTATACATGCATTTCGGCTTTTTGTGGCGTAGTCTTTTATATTAATTTTATATTTTCTTGGAGTCTTTCCAGTTAAATTACCGAATTATACCTCATGTTTGACTTGTCTGGTCCCGATCCGCCCGGATAACCAATTCGGTTCATTCCGTAGTTTTTAAGCTTACATGTTATTCATTTTGGGTCCAGACTATATGGGATCCGGTCTTACCCGTATTTTCGGTTTATTTTAGATTTTCACTTTTTCACTATATTAAGTCGGCCTAGTTTAGTTTTTCACTTTCTCGCCAAATTTATTTTCAAGGTTTCGTTACTCTTTTTTTTTTCGGGTCGGTCTGACCAGACCGACCGGGCTGATTTTTCGTCCAGACTGATCGGTCTAGAGTCTAGACCGATCGGTCTAGGCAAGTTTAGGTCTCGGTATGATGTTTGGTCTAGACCCGAGGGGCTGGACAATCCAGACCCTACGGTCTGGCTTCTCCAGACCCGACGGTCTGGACTTCGTCTGCAACATCTGGACTTCGTGTTTTCCCCTACAGACCTAGAACGGATGGTTTGACCTCAGATCGGATGTTCTAGTCCTCGTATTTCATTAAAAAAAAACAGTCAAATATGCACGATTCACTATGGGTAATAACTAAAACTCATAAAATTTTATGTTGAGCAAGAATCGGACATCAATTTGGCACGAAATACACAAGAACCCAAAACTCCATGTCAATAGACTTCTGAATTAAACTCGAATTCACTCACCTCGGGTTAATCTCGTATTCTGGGTGACATATAGGGGGTTTGGTGATGCTCCTCTTTGTCTGTAGAAGCCAATTTGAGCGTAAACGATTGATTCGA